TTTCATATGGGACCATCGTAAACCGGTCTCTTTGAGAAATTTCTAAATATTAGAATTTTTAGACGTATAAAAAGTTCTCTAATTGTTTTGTTATTTTATTTTATTTTTAAATAAAAATTTCTCATGCTTGTCTTTAATATCAATTTTAAACTAGGTCACTTTTATGAAGGCTCAGCTTACCTATTTAGATATTTAAAATAAATACAAATAAAGTTTTAATTGTATCTTAAAATTGAAAATTTTGATTGCAATAAATCTATGTTGTTGAACAATATTATTTAAATATTAATGTGACACGTTAATCGCAAGCAATGATTTGTACAACGTGACACCGAAGAGTAAATTAGTAGGGTTAGGGGTCGGGTACGGAGACAAAATTATACAATGGTATGGTGAGTGAGTGCAGGTATTTATACATTTTAAGTTGATTTATTTTGCCCACACACCGTTATTTTATCAAATTTAATATATTTTTTAAAATGTTGTATCATGTTAAATCTTATCACTTGGTAACAATGTTATTGACAATCTTGTCATATGAACATTTAAGTAATTGTGCTAATGGAAAAAAACTCATAAAAAAAATTCAATAGCATAGTAATTGAAAAAGTTTTTTAGACTAAATAAACCTGACGTATAAATACTAATTTGGTTTCTATATTTTCATTTTGGTTTTCATGGTTTTTATTTACTTTTTAAAATTTATGCTAAATTTTGAAAACTTAAACTATAGTTTTCAAAAAAGTTATTTTTATAAGTTAAAAATTCAAATATATATTTTGAGAAAGAAAAAAAAAAGAGATACCAACAAATAGTGGAAAATCAAATATAATTTTCAAAAACGTAAAATTGAAAATGAAATTCTCATGAAGCGGAGTCTTAATTATTGCTCATTTTGGTTCTTTGTTTATAAGCTTGCATTTATCCTTTACTGAAATGAAATGGATTAAAAATATTAAATTTTATATTATTAGACTAAAAAACATTATATTATTCTTGCATTCTTAGTCTAAGAAAATATTAGGTACCCAATTTTTAAATTGTGGGATTTTCTAGAACAACATAATTATTTGTCACCATCCTCAAACTTAAAAATAACCACAAAAAAATCTCCATCTCCTTAAAAAAAGAAAAAAAAAAATCTCCTATCCTAATCCACAATATGTCATTAAATAAATTTGATACACTTATTTTCTCTTGGTACTTTCCTTTTGTATTTTCTTTAGAAGGCTGGATTACAAAAATGCCCCTTTTGTTTAAAAATATACCCCTACAGCAGATGTTTGCTCTTTGTTAAAAAAATACCCCTAAATGTAATTGTCCCATCATTCCATAATACTATGTAATGTCAGCTTTCGATTTAAATTATTAGCGGAATATTTATAAAAGGTCAAAGATAGTATTAAAACTTTTTAGAGATATTTTTGTTATTTAGCCTTTTGAAAAAATAGTTTAGATAAAATATCCACTAATAAAACGTGTCCAATATTTTATTTTTGTCGGTCTGTATCTAACTCGACTGGATAAAACATTTGATAGGAGGGGAATGAAAAAAAATTAAAAAGATTTGCATAAAAAATGAGAGAAAAATAGGATTTAAAATGATTGGTTTTGTTGAATTATTAGTAGGAAAAAGGTCCTAGTGTATGCTGACAAAGCCAACCTAACCATTCCAAATTTGCTTATCCATTTGGACACCAACCATTCTTGTCTTTTGGGAGTGGAATATGCCTTTGGATTTCCACTCTCTACCCTTGTTTTTCCCATTTCTTTGGTTTGTTTTTTAATTCAATGAAATTTTACATGTTATCTATTGAGTTCTCCAACTTTAAGAATTTTCGATTGCAATGTTTACCGTTAATATCGTTAGCTAAATGATGAAATGACACGTATGTTGACAAATATTTGGCTAATTTGACACGAGTGACAGATAAATTATAAAAAATCGTAGATAGCTATACAAAATAACTCATGTATTGCGAAACTCTAAAATCATCGAAATAAGAAGCTCCAAATGTTGCAATCGTGAAATCATACACAACCTAAATGATGAAGATGAGGATCTAACGGATTAGGCAGGAGCGAGAAATTGTTATTAATTAGGGACAGTTACAAATATGGCAAAAAAAACTCAAGGAAATAACAAATTTAGCATCTACACTTTAGATTTTCAAATATAGCAAAATTTTTAGAAAAAATTGAGGTTCAATAATAAAATGTCAAATTTACTCTCGTAGCACTGATATAAGACTAATATATATATTTGATATATACTTGACATACCTCTAATTTACTATAGATATACAACTGACATATTACTTATATAACTATGATATGATTATATTATTTACTATTTATTGATTTACCACGGATATACGTGTGATATATAATTGATATGTCTTTGATATACTACTGATATAATACTGATATACAATTGATTTACTTATGATATAATTACGATATCTACCCATGTAACTTCTAATATGGTTTACCACTGATATACGTATGATATAACTATGATTTCTACTTATATAAGTTCTTATATGATTATATAATTTACCATTGATTTACCATGGCTAATATAACACTTATATATCTGTGATATATATTTGATATGTCTTTAATTTACCACTAATGTAATTGTGATATCTACTAATATAATTTTTTATATGATTATATGATTTATCACTAATATAATATTGATGCATCTGTGATATATACTTAATATATTTTTAATTTACCATTGATATAACCATGATATCTACTTATATAACTATGTTATCCATGTGTTGATATAAATCTAATATATCCATTAATTTTTTTCCAAACGAAAACAATGGTGTAAACAAAAAAGATCGAATCTAAAATTATTACATAAAAGATTGATATGGACCACGAAAGTCCAAAAAAAAAGGTTAAAAGTCTGATATACTTTATAAACTTAATCAACGGATATCTCTTATATTTAGTATCTAATTAATATTAATATAGATTAGATAGTGGATATAGCAATTAAAATTATTGATAATATTAGTATATCAATCAACAAATTGCAATGATAAACTACAATTTAAACAACTGATATACCACTGAAAATTTAACATTTGATATACCTTATATTTACTATATCAGTTACAAATATATTTAGTATACCACTGATATACATCAAATGTACATTAGAGATACATCGGATGTATATCAGATAAGATACACATACGTATATGAGTTACAAATATATATTTAATATACCATAGATTAGAGATACATCATATGTATATTAGATGTATAATACGTACATCTGATATATATCAGAAGTGCATCGGATGTACATCAGATATAGATCGGAAATATATCAGAGATATATCGGAAATATATCAAAAATATATCGGACGTATATCATATATACATCCGTCAAGAGTATATCAGATATATATCTCATTGGGCGTATATAAGATATTATAAGGGAAAAACTGAAATAATAAAAATTCCGAAAATAAAAATTCAAATATTTTACCATACTTACAAAATACGAAAGAGGTTGACATTTTCGTAAATATGTATAAAAATTTAGCTACCTAATACAATTTCTCTATTAATTATTTAAACTTAAAAAAGTTCTAATGATGTCTCTATAACTTTGAATTTTTGCTTACATCATTAACTGCTTATGTGATGACTTGCCATACTCTGTTTTTTAGTACAAAAAATATGGGGATTAGTAATTAAACCTTCGACTTAGAGGAGTAAGATACCTAAATCATCCAGCTATGCTCATGTTGGCTACCTCTCATACTTATTAAACAAATGTTAGCCGGTTAGAGAAACGACAATAGATAATGGGTACCTAGACAGAATCGAGTAGTATTGTCTATGAAAAAGGGAATAGAGTATTTCTTACATGTTATTTTATATCATCCACATACCCGATCTATTTATTTCTACCGTCTTACCACAACAGTACTGGAAATATATAAATTTTAGTCTCCAATGTTTAGATATATTTTCAATTTAGTCCGTTACATTTTTCAATTATATCTTTTTCTGTGGTGAATGTTAAAATTGGCACACTATCATATACTCAACAAATAATATTTATCTAAACAAGTACGTTGTACTATTATTTTTTTCCTTTTTTTTAGTTCAACAAATGTATGAGCAGTAGATTGAATCAACAACTTTAAAAAATGTATTAACTACTTAATCCACTTGAACTAGGCTCATATTGACAAATGTATTATGCCACAATCTAACAATAGCAAACTCCATAAAAGTATAATTCAAAATCCAACTAAGAAATAAAATTCATAATTTAAACGAGTAATATTTAGGAGTTTACTAATTAGTAGGTATTAATATTCATGGGATTCCATCTCAAAATCAATTAACAATGAGAGGAGTAGTGCATGACTATTATAAATCATTGTTAGATCCTTTTTCTTTTCAATATAAAATCCTTGACAGCAGTTATTTCCAACTTAGTACCATTAAAGAACTGATAACTAAAAGAGATTTTTCAATTACAAAAAAGGTAGGTGTAGATATCCAATTTCGACAAGTAGGAAGATACCGACCGACCGATAAACATTAAATATTATTCAATTTAACCTATGTTTAGAATTAAAATACTTCCACCACTATGAGAATAGCTTAATTTAATTTGTCAACCAAAAGRTTTGAAGTTCGAACGGTGGTGAAAATAATAATAATAGTAGAACACTTGCCAAGATAATTGGGCATTTTTCTCCCATTTTCTGTGATTCTGTTGTCCGATTGGCCTCTCGTGTTGTGTCAGATATTTTAATGGCATTGTTTTCGTGTAAAAAATTAGTTTGATGATTTTTTTTTATAGAGATCCATGAATCCCAATTTGCCAGAAGGATTTCCAATTCCTGAGTCGATTTTCCACTGTCGTTTTCCAAAGCCCTCAAAAAACCAAAACCACACATTATTATGAAAATATGAATCATCCCATTGCCATTGCCATTGCAAATCTGTCGCTTCCATGGCGTTGTCTCTTTGTACAAATATGGGGGCCACGCCCAAACAAAGCTTGTTTCCTTCCCTCCTCAATCTTCTCCATTTTCGTCTTCATTTCTCCATTTCCATCACTCCCCCCTTCCCCTTCCCCTTCACCGTGTAATGTGCGAAATTTCCCCATCTCTTGTTCACTCCGAAATTCGATCATTTCTAAGGGGTTTTCTTTACATTATCTTCACTCCCACCTCTCCCATGGAGTTTTGCTTATGACCCATCTTCCAATTTTGAAGATCTTTGGAGTTTCTGTGGGTGTTCTTTGAGGTTCGCCATTGATGGAGATGTCGTTGCTTGAATCCAAATCCCTGTTTCTTTACCAGAAATGTCACTCTTCGCCGTTTTTGAGCTTCAGGCACCAAGTTGAGAGGTTTTCTAGATTCTGTTCTTGCAGGGGTACTCTCTCTCTCTCTCTCTATGTTCTTTCTCGAATGACCAAAATTGTTCAAAAGATGAGGGGAAAGTTTGAATGTTTGGTATGTTTAGATTATATGGAGCCAACATTTTTTTTCCATTTCTTACTAGAAATTTGGCAGATGTTTTGCACACCATACATTTCTTTCTTCCTTGTACTTTTGGAGAGATTAATGTTGTGTATTTGAGATGTTCTGGACTTTGCATCTGTTGGGTATCTGAGATTAATGATGAAATTTTTGTTCAGGGAGATTTTCCAAGGCTTCTTATTTGAGTAAGCCAAACAAGGCGGCATATTGTAATGGAGCTGTGAGTTCAATTGGGCAAAAAAAACTAGCACCAGAAGCTTTTACACATCAGATAAATGGAACAAATGGCTTGAGTTCTAAGCTATTTTCAAACGACAGTAGATTATTAGAAGCTGTTGATGATGAGTATGATGGAATTGTGATTGATCCAGACCGATTGCCCACAAATCCGATCGTCTTTTCGTCCAATCTTCGTTTCTCTATGTCCCATTGGAAAAAGAAGGTAAAACTTCTTCATATCATGTCAGATGTTTATATTTCTACTAAAGATTGATTTGATATCCTCACTTGAGACGTGTATGACGCTCGTCTCGAATTACTTACTTTTTTCGTTAGATGTAAATGCTCAATATGAGCTTGAGAACGTGTAGATTTTCGGTTAAATTATAAGTTTAGTTCCTGTACTTCAGAATGGAATCTAATAGGTTGGGTATTATGACCCTTTGTTTTCTTCAGAGTTCTCAAATCAGAATCAGATGTCACCAAGTTTTCAAACCATTTGAAATATTGAGAATCAAATATCATGCAGAAACCTTCAAGTTTCAAATATCTTAATTGCATAAGACAATCTATTCTTTCATTATAAACTACAGAGCCCACATAATCAGATGTTTTCACACCTTAATTTTCATGTTGAATTCAATCCAGTTTCATATTTCAGGTACCATAAAGGCATAAACTACTTCATATTCAGTGAGAATAGTATACTGAGAATCTCTTCTGCTGCAGGGAAAGAAGGGAGTTTGGCTTAAGTTGCCAGTAGAACAATCAGAGCTAGTTCCAATCGCCGTAAAGGTAACGTCCTTATCGGATTCCAGTCGTAGCTGTCTTTGTTTCGGTGTAATAGAAACCGATTCCCTCGAAGCGAGGATGAGGATGCTCCTCTAAGACTAGTTATTTGGGTCACAGGCAGGATTTCAGTACCATCATGCACAGCCAGAGTACTTGATGTTAACTTATTGGATACCCGACGGACCATGTATGCTTCCTTCAAATGCCTCGCACCACGTCGGGGTTGGAGGATTCGTCATTAACGATAGAAACGAGGTATATTCTTTGTCGAGCTTTCTTACAAGTGAAAACATTAAAATCCTCTTGCCTTTGCTTCAAGTTTGACAATTTGATTTCATCAAACCTTGGATGTTTTTCTACAAGGTGTTCGCTTTCAAAGAGCTTGTGCATTCATTATAGCCAATCTCCAATGTTGACATATAATATTAGATTCAAACAATAAGCTTAATCTAAACTAAAGTTATCTGATCATTGACAACAGGTCTTGGTAGTGCAAGAAAAATATTGTTCTCCAACATTTGCTAATTTTTGGAAAATACCTACTGGTTTCATTGTCGAGGTACTCGATCGGCTTTAAGTTCGGTTTGTCGCCATGGTTGTATGAGTTAAATTTGGAGTTTTTCTTGGGTATAACTCTTTTGAATTTTTTTGTGTTCATCAGAAGGAAGAGATCTTTACAGGAGTTTCTAGAGAAGTGAAGGAAGAAACTGGTGTAAGAATTTGCTGTTAAACCTTTGCTTTTTAAGGTTCATTTATTTAAGTTTTTTTTTTTTTTTCCTTTCTACTATAAGCTTTTTCTAACATTTGTATACTAAGATTTTTGAAAGGCAGAGGGAACCTTCCCGTTAGCCAAAAGATTTACGAGAGAGATCTCCAAAACCCAAAAAATATTACCTTGGAGCTAGTGCGGGTGCCCCTGGATATAGCGGAGAACTCTGACTTCCGGTTATAAAAAAACAATCCTAGAAAATATCTTAAGAGAGAATACTAATTCGGAAGTCAAAAAATAACTTCATTGAAAGTTTCTCGTGTAGTGAAAAAGTATCTTTAAAACTTCGTTTGTTTCTTTCTAGCCAAACGACCCACATAAGGGCCCTCATGGGTGTCCTATGAAAGGAAAAGTCCCAATCAAAGACGCTTTCCTTTGCCCAAAAATATTGCCCCACGAGAAATTAGATTACATCATTCTGTACTCTACTATAACTATCATGTTGTTCTTGCAATGAATGCTAATCCAAACAAAGAGTCTAAATTTATTAGTCTTCCATCTCCCAATAAGCTTAGCAGTTCCTCTTAGAGGCTCCTGAGATCAGCTGTGATCAAGTTTGTGGTCTCTTCTGATGGATTCTCTTTGCTCTGTTTTGCAGATTGAGACCGAGTTTGTTGAAGTAATAGCATTCAGGTAAAAAGAATTTATTTTCTCCACCTATAAATATGTGAAGTACAAAAATTTGGAGAGCTCGGGAATCACTGGGTTTCCCGCGCTATTTGATCTTGTCGAATGTTGACCTAGTATAAGCTACTATCAAAACAACAATGTTTTTTTATCAAGAATATATGAGGTAGGGATTTGAACATTCTGTCGTTTGGTCGATGATATATGTCTCAATCAGTTGAATTATATTCAGATTGACGTAAAAACAGCAATGTATTGCAGTAACTTCTTAAAATTGGATCACTGAGATCTAATACTGTCTTCCCTTTTCCAGGCACGCTCACAATGTGGCATACGAGAAGTCTGATTTGTTCTTTGTATGCATGCTTAGACCATTGTCGACCCAGATTATCGTCGATGATCTCGAAATCCAAGCAGCAAAGGTAGTAATTTTCTTAACTCACAGAATATACTGTCATTTCTTAGAAGAAAAGCTCAATCTTTTCTCTGGTAATACAGTGGATGCCTTTAGCTGAATTTGTGGAGCAACCCCTTGTACAAGAAGATGTGATGTTTAAGAAGATTATCGACATCTGCATCGCCCGACTAGATAAATACTACTGCGGGTTAAACGTTCACCAGCTCGTCTCGAAATTCGACGGTAAACTGTCGTCTCTTTATTACAACATCATCGACGGCGAAGATCTCAACTGTACTGGGAACTGAATTGAAGCACTGCTCATTCATTGCCAATGGCATGTGTTTTCCTTTCATGCATTTATGTTAATATGTAGCTGATAATAGAATATGTAATTATAGAACTCTTTTGTAGAATATGAATAACATGAGGTTCTAGCACAAAATGTTCTTCTTTGTACATGTCTAGATATAAATACACAACAAAATGTTGTTTTTACACGAATCCAGTCAAAATGGATTTGTCTCGACAAAAACTAGAGTGTTCATTGGTTAAGAAATGTTTCGTACCCAACTCAATTGTCTCGGGTTATGATATTATCCAACCCAGTTGATCCGTAGTTGGACGTGGATCAAATAACTAAATTAAGTAATATTTGGTTAGTTGGACATAAACATAACTCAATGATTATTACCATTTTCATCTCGGTATTGTTGAAATCAAAAAACAAGAAATAAAAAAAAGATTGGGATTGATTTGTTTCTTGAAGGGCTTATTTTAAAATTTTATGAAAAATAACAATTTGAACTAATTATTTTGGTCTAAACCTTACTTTCCAACTTTATATTTTCATTTCCAAACTTTCCATTTAAAAAAAAAAAAAAACCTATTTTAGTCCTTTTTATTAGTTATTCATTAATAGTTTAATAGAAAATTGATCCCATTTTGAAATTCAACGTCTAATCTACTGCATTTAGCTTTTAAGAACGGCAATTAAGACATATTTGATAACGATCTCGTTTTTAGTCCTACACCTTTTTAAAATTATACTTACTAGCTTTCTCACCATTTATTTGATATATTTTTACTTAAAAAAAATTGATCTTTTAGCAAATTTAAAAAAACAAAATAAAATTACTTGTTTTGTAAAAAAAATCGCTTAAACTAAAAAAAAAATGTTTCGAATAAATAGATATAGTACAATTTATAAGCTTAATCTTAAAAAGGAAATAACCAAAAGTAAAATTATTATCAAACAGAACGGATAGAGTTAACTTCTGTTAAAAAAAATTAACGATAATGACTAAAAAAAGTATGTTCATAAATGATTTTATCCATTAATAACATTTTGGTTGGTTTAATTCATTTATTATTTGGTTCCATTTAATTTGAATATAAAACTATAATCAATCCCAACTCAACCAATCATTTAGAAATGTTTGATCCAATTCTCAAGTCTAATTTTTTCAAAATAAATAAATACCAAAAGTTTTTCGGTGGTATATAATAAATTATTAAATTATAAAAACTATCAAGTAGATCTCTAAGGGCCCACTTAATAAGGGCTCTTTTGGTAACATTTTCGTTTTTTCTTTTCTCTTTTAAATAAAGAAAAATATAATTGCATGATAATATTTTATGTTGGAACAAATTAAAAATTGGAATAAGAAACAAGAAACTTGTTTTTGTTGTTTCCAAAATTTATATACAATTTTGAGAATGTTTATAAAAAACTATATAACAAGAAACATAATTAGTTATCAAATGCTTAAATTTCTTAATAAAATTGGAAATAATAAATGAGAACGTACCCCAAGAGCTTCTTTGGTAACGTTCCTGTTTTTTGTTTCGGTTTCTTTATTTTTAATGAAAAAAATGTGTTGCATGATTTCAACCTCCAAGAGAAACTTGTTTTGATTGTTCCCAAAATTTCTATAAAAGGAGAAACAAGAAACCAAGTTAGTTGTTGTTTCTGGTTTCCAATTTTACTAAGAAACATAAGCATTTGACAACTATTTATATTTATTGTTTCTTATATTTTGTGAAATATTCTCAAAATTGTATAGAAATTTTGAACAATAAAAACAAGTTCTTGTTTCTTGTTTTCGTTTCCAATTTGTTCTAAAATATAAATAAAAATTATGTTTTATCATTCTTGAATTAGTCCATAGGTGTTGAAGGTCATGCAAATCTATTTTTCTTTATTAAAAATGAGGAAACATAAACAAGAAACGAGAATGTTACCAAACGGACCATAAAGCCCCAAATTTGTATTTTATAGGTCATACCATTTGTTCAGTTCAAAGACTTAGATACAAAATTAAAAGTTCATAGACTTATTAGACACTCTTCAAAGTTCGAGAACCTAATAGACACAACCCTTGATAGTTTAGAGACCAAACTTGTAAATTAACCATTTTTTTATTATGAGATCGACCTTGGACCTAGATCTTGATTTCTGTAACTTGTGTTTATTTCGTAAACTAATAATTTGTAAAACTCAATATGCAACATAAAAATATAAATGAACAAAATACAAGGAAGTCTCGTACGGCAACTATTGACTTTTCCCAGAGCTATGAAACTTAAGTGTGGGCGTTTGTTGTCAAAACAGAATGATATTATATTTTTATTATTCTATTTTCGTTATCAAAATCTCACATTCTACCGTAGAAGACACAAATTCATGTATTAAGCAGCGTAGCCTCTGTTCCTTAATCTCGAGCTACACAAGCTTAACTCGTGAGTCAAATATGTCTTGATTCAAAATTTGGAAAAGTTTTGTAATGGAAGACAAACATAGGTTGACTCAGTTTCCATCATAGCCAAAGTCAATGAAGAAAGAAATACTAGGCTGCCAAAAAAACTTCCTAAGAGATCTAATTTAATATTAGACCATAAAAAAAGGGGCATGTGCTAAAAGCCTAAAACTAAAAATAAAATAAAATTGTTTTCTTCTTTATTATTATTATTTTTTAAATACGCACCAGTGGTGTTAAAGAAAAATAATAATAAATAATATGTCGGCTTTTCTAAAATGAATTTTATTTTTTTAATATGGAAAATATGTTGGGATAGTGAATTTTTTTAATTGTTTTTACTTTGGTTGGTCTCCGCCTTCTCACTATCCGATACAATGTTTAAATATTATTTCGGTGTTTGTATTTTTTTATTTAGTTCATTTTTGTCCTTCTACTTTCAAAACAAACTCATCTATTTTAAAAAGTGATCAATTTGATCCATATTTACAAAATTTTAACACACAAATTTTATATAGAATAAAAACCCTTTAATATAAATTACGACTACATTTCAAAAAATTTAGTGAGTGAAGCGTCAAGTTAAAATTATGATAAAAATGAAAATAAATCAATTAAAATGGTAATTTTTYAAGAGTAGGGCGACAAAATGTACATTTTGAAAGTATATATAGACTAAAAAAAAAATTAAAGTACATGGATCACAAAATAAAGTGGAGAAACTAAAATGTTGAAAGTATATTAATCAAAATATAATGAGTAAATAAATCTAATTTTAAAAATGAGAAACTAAAAAAAAAATAATAACTAATACAATAATATGGTGTATCTTTTGAGTTTTGACCAATTGTGGAAAAAATGCTTTGCTTTGTAGCTAATTTCTTGTCCCTTTGTAGGTCCCAAAACCAAATGTCACGCATTAATTATACACCATTGCCAATGAATTAAACGAGTCTTACAAGAAGACTTACTTTNAAAAAAAAAAAGAAAAAAAATCTTTAAGACATAAAACTTAAATCTATTAAGTCCCAAATTGAGAAGCCTAGATTTGTATAATTATGCTAAGATTACAAAAGAATTAACTTAGGTTTAGTTTCTAGACTTTGATTCGTTAATTTACGATCCAAGGTAAGTTACAAGTTTAGTAATTTATTCTACAAATTGTTGTAATCATATCTAATAGATCTTTGAACTTTAAAATATGTCTGTCTAGTATGTCCCTTCGATTAAAAGTTTATAGACCCGTTAAACATTTCATAAAATTTATGGACCTATTAACACCATCTCGTGAGTTTAAACCAAACTTGTAATTTAACCATAGTTTTCTAAATTTAATTATTACCATTCAAACATTTCCAAAAAAAATCTTACAATTAAAAAAAAAAAGAAGAAATTTAAACCCATAACTTTTAACTAATTATTAATACTTTGACTAGTTGAATTGCACCTTATACTAAGGGTACATAAGAGGTCGAAAAATCGACTAGACCAATCGAACGAACGTCGTTTGGCAGTCAGTTTGGGAAAGTAAAGAGAACAGTTGGTCGATGTGACCTAAAAACAGACCCGACTGATCGATAGTAAACCCCTACCCTATACAACTAAGATACTCAGAATTATAGACTTAACAAGTAAGTTATATATTTCCTAAAAGGGTAATTTTCATCAACTTCTCTCTCAAAAGAGATAAAAAAAGGCAAACCCAATAAACCTATATAGCTGCCTGAATCTTACTTGCCTTCATAAACTAAACTAAAACTCATTCTCTTCAGAATCTTACTTTAAAAAAGTTATAAAAAAATATCATTGCTAGGACTTTAAACTATACAACCTTTACCTAAAAGTATGCTTTATCCCTAATATTTAGGTTTTTTTTTTTTATTTAGTCCCTATTTTTTAAAAAAGTTTCTAGTCCTCCCTACAATTTAACATTTTTCAATTATATAATTTTTTTTAGGTAAATAATTGGTTGATAATAAGCTTACATGGCATAATACTTACTAAGTTAGGAGGAATTAACTATTGTAAGATAAAGAGAGATAAAAAATTATGCCCATTTCTTAAATTTAAAAGAGGAATTAGAAATCTTACTCTCGTAAACTGCCTAATCTCTACTAACTCATCAAGTATCACGTCACACACAAATTCATCATAAACCAATTTTAAAAACTCACCAACGAAATTGAAAATATCAAAACATAAGAAATCAAATAAAAAATTTTTAAAATGACCCATGTTTTAGGTGCTTACCAGATACCAATTAATTAGCCGTCCCTCTTTGATCCTATTAAATTTTTTACCAGTAGGGAAGAAAAATGTAAAAAATATATATATTTTTCTCTCTATTTTTTAAAGCTATCAAATTATTGATAGTCAGTACAAAGATAGATGTTGATCGGGTACTATTCTTTTAAAATAACTGAAAAAACACCCAAACTAAGACATCAAAAAGATGTATTTAGCCTATAAACTTAACCAATAAGTTAAGAAAATTCCCAATTTACTTCTCCCTCCGAAAATGACTAAAGAGCCCCTCAATCTTTATATATATATATATATATATATATAGCTTCCCAAATATGAATCTTACTTGTCTCAAGAAATTAACTAAATGGAAATCTCAGTCTTTTCCTTCTTCTTCCTCCTCCTCTTCTCTTCCACCTCCATTAAAGCTGAACCAAGCTGCAGCCATAGCCATAGCCATGGCTGTACAAAGCTCCACTTCCCTTTCAAACTAAACCTCTCTTGCTCAGAAAACACCACAACAATCCACTTCAAAAGCCATGAATCATCTCTACCTCTGGCAGTGAAATCCATTTCCTACGACCAAAAAAGGCTGGATCTTGCAGACCCCCACGGCTGCGTCCACGGCGTCTTCCTCGATCTCGACCTCGCTCCAACCCCGTTCCGCTACTTCTATGCCCTCAAAGACTACATCTACGTCAACTGCACGGTGAAACTGCCGCCGCCTTCGACGCCGGTGCCGTGCCTGAGCAAGCAAGGGGATCATGGCTACTATGTGTATGTTGTGAGGGCGGCGCCGCTGGTGGCAGCGCCTAGGCGCTGCAGGGAAGTCAAGAGAGTGGGGATCCCATTTGAGTACAGTCCTTATCTTGATGATGGGTCCTTTGGACTTTCCTTGAGTTGGGGTTTTGATGAAAAGCAGAGGAAAACAGAGTGCAAAACAGGGTGTTTCTTGAAAGCTACAAATCTTCAAGGTCAATTTCTTTCTTCCTTTGCTACTCTACCCTCACAATGAAAGAAAAAAAAGGGAAAAAAGAAAAGAAAAGAATCTTTTTTCTTTATGTTCATTGAATACTTATGATCTTGCTATTCAATCTACTTTGATCAATCTTATGGGGTTCAAAGAGTTTAAAAAGCTGTACAATAAATCTTTACCGATTCGTTTGATAACGTTTTTTTTTGGCTTTCCTCTCTTTCAATAAAGAAAAATTGTATTTGGTATCTCTTTCTTATTTTTTATTCTTTCTTTGTTATTGAAAATGGAAAGAAGAACATGTTTATATTAACTATTTCTTGTTTTTTTGAAATTTTAAGTTAGAAAAAAAAAGTTAATGTTTTATGATTAATTTTTCAAATTAAATATTTTGAATTTTTATGTTATTATTTATCATGAATTTGATAAGTAAAAATGATGAAATAACCTTTTTGTCTATGTTTGGGAAGAAATTGAAAACAATTTCAACGAATAAAAAAAGATTGGGTTGTTTCTAAAATTTTACAAAACTTTGACAATGGTTTCTTAAAAACGTTTATGTTCATGTTTACCAAAAATTGAAAATAAAAAAACAAAAAATAAAAAATTGTAACATTACCAAACGTACCTTTTAACTTTTTATCCAAATAGGATTTCAAACTTAAAAAGTGTTATTAAACATTATTTCAGTTAAAAAGATCAATTATTTGATGTATAATTGAAAGTTAAAAAGAATATTCTTCTTAAATAGTTCAATAATTGCAGGGCTGATAGGCTTTAAATAGTTCAATAATTGCAGGCTGTGAGTCAGCCTATCGACCTTAGAAATAGTAATAAGTTTTTTAAGAATTAAAAAGTATCTAATCACTATATATATATTAATCACTATCGATCTCAACTTTGCTACCTAATCACTATATATATAAAAATCATTTTTGCCTAATCACATCTATATTAATCATTTTTTTAAAACCCTTCAATAAAATAAACAGACAAAAATAATCCATTAGAATCATGAATGATTTCATATAGATTGTAACATAAATCTTCATTAGCCACCAAATTATTATTTAAGAATCTTTATGATAAATTAACTGTTGCAATCATATAAACTATAGTGCTTTGGAAATTACTATTTTTATTTGATTTTTTCCATATTATGTCATAGATAAGAATTGACTTTGAATATTCAAAGTCTTATGTTGGAAAAGTATATATGCAAGACTGAATACTTTATGTTCTAGTTGTTAATTATCAAGTCTTTTAGAAGTTGGTCAAATGTTGAGTGATTTTTAAATATTAAATTGAAATTTTTAGGAGAATTATATAAAATATAGTTTTAAATACTATTTTTGATCTCTTTATTTTTTATACTTTCAAAACGTCCATTTTGGTCACTAATTTAATCTCATTTTTGCAAAAATTTTAACACAAGTTTTTTCCGCTTTAATACAAATATATGACTATATTTAGTGGGTGCAGTGTCCTGCCAAAATTACGGTGGAAAGAAATGAAATGACCACCCAAAAAAGATTACTTCTTACAAGTTTAGTCTTTTTTAACGACTTTTAAAAAATTCTATTAAATACAAAATTAAATGTCGAATGAGTTAAGGAATATCATATGCAAAATTGAACGTTTTGAGACAGTTTTAGACAATTTTAAAGTTCAAGAATCTATTAGACACAAAATTAAAAGTCCCGATAGTTATTAGACAGAACTTTTAAAGTTTAGGGACCAAACTTGTAATTTAATCATTTACGACGCTATGAAAAAGAAAGCAATAATTTTTATTTTGTTTTGCTATCTTTGTGCAGTGGTTAGCATTTGCTTGGTTGCAGCTATGGTGGCCATAGCAATGGTGATGGGGAAGATATCTCACTCAAAAAAGCAAAATTATCCAAAGGAAGAAGATGACAAGAATTCATATGAAGCCCTAAAAAATGGTTCAGATGATCCTATAAACCACCAATTAGTTTGAGCCAATTTTGAATTGTATATTTTTGGTTTTGTTTTTAATATTAGTTTTCTCAAGTTTTACACAAATTGTGATGAAAATTTGAAGTTTTCTTGTTAATATAAAAGTAAATGAAAAAATGTAGTTGATTAATTTTTCTTCTCTCGGTACTATGGCCATAGTAATTTGGGCATTTCCATTTTTTTTTTTTCAAAATATAAATAAGGTATAATTTTTTCATTCTTGACTTGTAGGAGGCATAATAAATATTTTAAAATAAATATATGATAGAAAATTTGAATATTTAATTTTTTCATACAAAAATTTGTTTTTTCAAATTTAAAATTTTAAAGAACCAAAAATAAGAAATAGTTACTTATGTTTCGATTTCTTTTTTTTCAATAAAAAAATCAACAATAAACAATTACCAAATATAGTTCTATTTCTATTTATTAAACTGACAAGAAATGAAAACGTTATCGAATGTGTGTTTCATTAGAACTAATTTCATTTCTATTTGTAACCTTTCATGTTCAATTTACTATACTTTTTAATTAAAACAAATTGATATGATTTTTTTCAAAAATAAAACATTGAAATTATTTCATAACTTTTTAAATTTATGATCGGTAAACAATAAGTTTTCATGAAAATTTTTTAAAAGGAAAACCATAATTCATTACAAAAAAAATAACAATAAATTAATTTTGAGTAATTAAAATAATTATTTATGTAAACAGAATACCTTTAATATGTAAAATCCACACATCTATGAAACCTAAGCTAATTTTAGATAAGCCTAAGCTAAATTAATATAATTGACATCCAAAGAGAATTAAACAAAAAATATAAATTTATATCAGACAACATCATCTTTATTTATTTATTTTTTTAAGAAAATATTAGTCAACATCTTAACCACCTTACAACTTTTGATTAACATAACTTTAGTATTCTTGGATTAATTTAAGACGTATTTTCATTGAAGTTATCTATTATAAAACTATAGAGAATATTTTAAAATATACAAATTCTTTCAATCTGATTCTAAAATTTTTTTTTAATAAAAGAGAAATATTATTAAAACATAATTAGAAATTAGAAGATTTTGACTTCTTAGTTCTTACATATAAATTCCTGGTTCTTTTAAGTTAAATTTAGCTTTAACCTTAGGTAGCAAAAATAATTTATGTATTTCAAAAAATGTTATCAGCTTTTCAAAATTTCAAATATAGCAAAATATTTAAATTTTTATTTTCAAAATTTTTATTATTCCGATTTTACCCTTATGACATTCATCTAATATATATCTGTATCTGATATATATCCAATGTATATCTAATATACATTCGATGTACCTCTGATATACTTCCGATATACATTCGATATACCCATGATATACATTATTAGATGTATGTATTATACCTCTAATATATATATATATATATACCTCAAATGTATGGTATACTAAAATATATTTGCAACTGATATACTAAATATAAGGTATACCAGTTGCTTAAATTCTAGTTTATCATTGCAAGTTTTTGGTTGAAATAGTGGATATAATAGTATTATATCAACACACATGTATCATAGATATATTAATAGATATTATGGTTATATCAGAGTTATACCAATAGTAAATTAGAAGCATATTAAGTATATATCAAATATATATTAGTGTTATATTAGTGGTAAATCATATATAAGAAGTTATATCAGTGGTATATCATTTGTATATCAATAGTAAATTAAAGACATACCAAGTATATATCATAGATATATAAATGTTGTATCGACGTGGTAAATCAATAGTTATCATACGTATATCAATGGTAAGTCATATTAGAAGTTCAGTAGATATCATAGTTATATCATAAGTAAATCAATTGTATATCATTATTATATCAGTGGTATATCATAGACATATATCGCTAGTAAGATATATTGTAGGTATTTTTTGTTGAAAAAAATACTTTTATTTGAAAAAACTAAATGTGATTGTTATTTTACTTATTTTACTAAATATTTTTTGTCATATTTGCAACTGTCCTTTTTAATTTCGTCACATCAAATAAACTTCGATATATTTTGCATTCCAATATATCCTCCTAGTTTTCAATTTCAGATTTGAACAATATTGAAAATCCTAGTTTTTTTTTTCTTACTATTAAACCCCTTCGAAACCCCCTCCATACCCATATATCTTTTCTAACATAGCCCTCCCGGATATATTTATTCACGGAAGTATATAGGTAGGCGACGTAAAAAAAATATGGGAAGGTAAAAATCGTAATACTTAATTGAAGTTTACGATGAAAATTTGAACCGTGAATATTTTAATACTTATTCAAATCTTGCCTAAAAAAAATTCTTAGAATGATCTAAGCATAGTACAATATTAAAATTTAGAATTAAACGTTTCTACAAAATTGCAATTTCAAGTTCCTCCATTTGAGTTAAGGTAACTGAAAATGATAGTTTGAGTTTCTATATAATGGGCGAAGATATCTTTCAAAGTTTCTTCTGTGTCCAAGGAAGATAAAATTTAAAAAAAAAAACGTAAATACTAATATGGTTCGTAGAATTTTGGCTTTTGGTTCATTTTAGTTCTTGTATTTTTAAAATATTTATTTTGGTTCATGTATTTTTACAAAATGATTATTTTAGTCTCTATTTTTAAAATTTTAATACAAATTCTATCCGTCACAGAAACCTAATAATATAGTCATTGGTACATTTCAAAAAATATGAATTATAGTGTTAGTGTTGAAATTGTGATTGAATAAAATTAGATTAAAAATTAAATTAAATGATCAAAATAGTTACTAACGTTTTGGAAATACAAATACTAAAATGAACTAAAAATACATGGATAAAAATAGTATTTAACTCGAAAAAAAATTAGATACATGTTAGAAATCTACTTTCAAAAGTAATTAATTAAGAAATACAATTCTCGACGTGAGCATATTATGATTTCATATTATGAGTATTTTCCTCAAAAATAATAAATTTGGTATTCGGTTCCTTAATGTCATGAAATTGTGATAAATTTTGAAATTGAATAGCGTACAAAAAACTAACAGCAGAAAGGAAAATAAAGTCAATGATTCCCACTCATTAAATAAAATATCTACCAGCAAATATAAAATATATATATATATATATATTTTAAAAAATATCATCGAGGAAAAATACATGTGGTGAGAAATTAACGAGACACGGTGAAAAATGTGCAAAGAGGTAGTTGTAGGCGGAGAAAATACACCTTACGAGCAGGGGCCGTTCGTTTTGGACATCTAGATTATCTTGTTTGGATTACGATAATCGTAAGTTTAAAATATTTTTCTTTCTCTCAGCCGTCTCATATTTATTTGTCACTCAATTTTTCTTCCTTTTTCTGTATGTTTCCATCTTTTTCACGTTTTTTCGATTGTGTTTTCTGTTAAAAATTTTTAATATTTTATTTTATGAATTCATGGGAAGGAAGTTCCTTTCAATTGGAAGATCAATATCTTCTGTATTTTCATCATTGTTTTCCATATTTTGTTATATTTTTTTTCCTTTTTTTTATCAAGAATTTAAGAAGATTCTGTGTTTTCAAAAATTTTGAAAAAGTTGTTGGACTGATTTATTTCCAACACAATGAATCCCAACGAAATTTTGTATTTTAATATTTTTCTTTAAAAAATCTTATATTAATATGAATTAATTTATCGTACAAAATAACATATAAGAAAATACTAAATTAATAAAAACAAATCTAATACATCCAAATATTCCCGAATATCCTTATAAGTTTTCTTACAAAACAAACGTGTCTATATTGAATTCCGGACATCTCAAATTCCGAGCATCTGAAGATGTTGGGCGTCTACATTCCCAAAAAACAAACGGCTCCGAATAAATGTGGGTAGAGACAAATTAACAATAAAAAATGCAGCTAACCTGAACATAGTTTAGCGGGTTAAAACATCTATGTCCGATCAAGGTCGCGAGTACGAATCCTCCCACCCCATATATTGTACTAAAAAAATAGAAAATACAAATGAGTCAATTTGAAAATAACTCAATTAAGTTGTGGGAGATTCAAATCTCTATTGTAGTCTAGTGAAACATATGTCATTACTACGTAAATAAATGGTTCATGGTTCACCGAATTCTTATGTAGCTATTTTTTTTCTTAAATTCTGCTACTACACAATAGATATCACTTTTGTAAATTCTTACATAGATAAATATGGTATATATATATAGATCGAGACTGTAATTATAGTAGTTTACGGGTATTTTTTCAACCTTTTCAAAAATCAATAGATCAATAATTATGTATTTTATTCAGTTCAACAACATGTGGAAATGGAAATTCGAACCTCCAACGTTATAATCGATTATATAAACTTTTAACTGACCAGCATAGCAATTATGCTCTTAATAATTGATTAAGAAACTTGTAAGTAGCATCTTGGGTCTTGATTTGAGTGTAAATCCAATCATAATTCAAAATTTAATTACCTAATTTAGCCCTGTTTTTCTTTTTTTCTTTTTTTTTTTATTTGCCACCCAATAAATGCCTGCAGTTCCCTTCCAACGATCAACAATGAGGAGAGCGCACTAAATGCTGCTTCCGAACACTCTCACAACTCACAAGTCTCGTTTTCAGACACGATTATCCATCCAAATTCTTCTGGTGAATTTCACACGCCATGCCTCCAATCTCTATAAATCTCTTCGTTTCTCAACTTCTCCCCCAAATCCCCCATGGCTCTCTCCTTCTCCTTCGCCTTCGCTCTGCTTCTGGTTTTCGCTGCGATTCCGGCTTCCATTTCCCTGCCCTTCGTCGTTCTCCATGGTAAATTCTAATTCCCCTCTCCATTTCGCCTCTCTTTTCGAGTTTTTCTGATGGGGGTTTTTTCTGAATTTTCTGGGAAAAATCTATGCCTGCTCTGTTGCGATGTTTGGATGTAGTTTAACTTTCGTGTGTTTGAAGTAATCTTGAGATTCAGTGGAGATGATGATCGTTCTAGTTAAATGGGATGTGGATTTGTTTGCAGAACAGAAATTTATGTCAATGTTTCCATTAGCACCTTGCTCATTGTCATTCCGACATGAGCTTAGTGAGATGATTGGTTTGTTGTTCAACAAAAATGACCCAACAAAATGGCTACTACATTGTTATCATGAAATGAAAACATAATTGTGTACGGATGTACTGTAGTTCTACTATATATTAATGGAGAATGGAAGATTTTAATAAGATGTATGTTCCTTGTTTTTCAAATTATGAGAAGAGGATGTTTAGTTAAGGCAACCAAAGTATGTCTTTCTGAAAGCTATCGGCATGGCCCGTTGTCGAGTGCAAGGTGCGCAACCCTGCCTCGGCCCTTATCCTATGTATCGGTCAAAAGTGAGGAAAATCCTTCGACTGGCAAAGAGAGGCGGCTCAACAAAGAAGGGATGGGAAATCGTCAAAGATGACTTCTTTGTTGGCAAAATGAAGGGCTAAATAGCACAATGATTCTCTAAGCTAGTCTGGATTTCCAATGATTTGGGAAAGAGGCCGATATCAATGACGACATCCTTTTCTTCTCTTTCTTACCGGGGAATCTTCTATTATGGCCTTCACCTCCCGCCCGGCTCGAAAATCTACACAAGGACAAGTATGAAACCTTATAGATAGAATGTCTAAAAGTAAAACTACATGAGCTTAGGTTGGGCAATATCGTACCATTGTAGATTCGTATAGTTATGATCACCAGGAAAATTCGGAATAATAATCTCTCATAAGGTAGCTCCAGTATTCTGAGTTTTTATTTCAGTGGTATGAAGTACTTGAAGGGCTCTACTGTTTTTGTTTTGTGATTGGAGTCTCTATTTCACCATGGCAGGCATAGGAGACCAGTGCTCACATCAAGGGGTTAGAAACTTCACCGAGCAACTGAGGAACTATTCTGGAGTTGAAGGATATTGCATGTATGTTTACATAGTACCATCATTCCTTTTTTCAGAATGAGTTCGAGATGACTTTCGAAAATAAGGGTTTTAAAGAGAAGCACCTCTAGTACCTGAATTACTTTCCAGTGAAAGCACTTTTTCTAGGAGCTCTAATTAGGTGTGTCGTCTTGAGTAATTTAAAATTGATTTTAAGTTAACTCTCCAAAAAGGTTAATTTGGAGTGTTTTCATAATTTTTTAAATCACTCCTGACAATGCAACCAAACATCATAGAAGTTTGGAAAAGTGTTTTAATTGTTTCAAAAGAAGACTAATGATTTCCAATGGCTAATTCTGCAGTGAAGTCGGGAATGGAGTGTGGGACTCTTGGTTTATTCCCATTGAGAAACAGGTAAAACCTTATCGAAACTAATAAATTAAATATAGTATATCGAACCCGAACCGACTTTTTCTTAAGCCCGTCATTCTTCCTTGGTAGTGAAAATTTCTGACTGTAACTGAGCTTTTCTCCTGTTTTCAGGCTGGAATTGTTTGTGACAAGGTGGATAAGTTGTCTTGGTGTCTCTGCCTATTCTGTTCAACTCATCTCTGAAGTATCTTGCTGTTTGACTGGTTTGGTTTTTAAAAATGCAGGTGAAGAAAATGGAGGAGTTGAAAAATGGTTACAATTTAGTTGGTCTCTCCCAGGTGATTATTAGAACTAGAATCTAGTTACAACTTGAAAAACGCCTTATTATGCACTAACATCTTCATCAGTAGTACACGGGCGACGATACCATTGTAGATATATATAGAAAGGCCCCATTTTCTTATGGCTATATCTTGTAAATTCTAACATTGCATGATACACAAGAACAAATTAGTTTTTTTTTCGAGTTAATAAGCCTTACCATTGGTGTCTGAATGGCTTATTTGGAGGTTATTGCAGTTCAACAACAAATGGAGTAGAGATTCGAACCTTCAACCTTTTGAGTTAAAATATATATTTTAATCAGTTGATTTAGGCTCAAGTTGACATTAGAACTTGCAGTTTTATATAATGTCTGCAGAAGATTGTTAATTGAACTTTTGTTCGGTTGAACAGGGTAACTTGATTGGTCGCGGAGTGCTCGAGTTTTGCGATGGAGGACCTCCGGTCAGAATCTGTTTAAGATATTTTTAATCTTTTGATTCTGTTGAGAATTCTGTCATTTTCAGGTTATCTCCTCATAGTTCATTCATGTGCCCATTCTGCTCTAACACATATCTTTCTGTGTTTTAAGGTTAAGAACTACATATCTTTAGCAGGTCCTCATGCTGGTACTGCTTCTGTTCCTCTTTGTGGTGTAAGTTCTGAATTTTGCCTTTCATCTTCAGTTTCTGGATCTTTATTTTGAGAAATTCAGATACAGAGTGTTCAGTATGTATGACCAAAGAGCACATGAATTTCAAAACTAAATTCTTTAGCATACCTCAAAGATGTCAAGTTAGGCATAAAATTAGTCATCTTCTCATTCTTTATGTTTCATTGTGGATGGTATTCTACCCTCAAAGAAGTTTTGGTAGATTTCTTGTTGAAGTGGTTTTCGGTTTCTGTAGAACGCGGTTTTCTGTCGCCTTGCGGACGAACTCATCAAGTCGGAGGTCTATAGCGATTACGTTCAGGTACAACTCTCACCTATCTTTTCTTGTTCATCTTAGTCATGCCATTAGATTCATATTTGGCTGTCTCATATCACCATCCATCTACATTGACAACTCTAATCTGTTATTAATTTCAATCCCTTAGCTCTAAACATGTTTCCCTCTCTGTTGACTGTCACAGGATCATCTAGCTCCCAGTGGTTATCTCAAACTACCCAACGTGAGCACTACTTTTTAAACTGAGCTTCTTTTTCTTCGATCGATTCATAAAGTAGTTTTTTACTCCAAGGACCACAAAGAGTTGAGCTTTCGTTACTTTCAGGCTATACCAAAATATTTGGAGAAATGCAAGTTTCTTCCAAAGCTCAACAACGAACTCCCAAAAGCGAGAAATTTGACGTACAAGGAACGATTCAGTAGCCTACAAAACTTGGTGCTAATAATGGTAGGTTTGGAAGGCTGTACTTTCATGTCAATGATATCTTGAGATTCTGTTTCCTTTAGCCTATATGCAAAATCAGCTAAACAGCATCTCTTACTTCTCTGTTATCATTTTTTTGTTTGTCCAGTTTGAGAATGACACTGTTTTGATCCCCAAGGAAACCTCATGGTTTGGTTACTACCCAGATGGAGCTTTTAATTCCACTATTCCTCCACAACAGGTATCTTACCACTCCAATGAAGAAAATTTCACAAAAATGCATATTATTTCCTAACCGATCCAACGGTTTTACCAAGCTTACTCAAGCTTACTCACACGATAATAGTCTAATCTTACAACATCCAGCATTTATCGTGGCTATGATGATCTATAAATAGGTACAATTATGACCACTTTTGTGATTTCTGCAGACAAAACTCTACATTGAAGACTGGATTGGTTTGAAAACCTTGGATAAGGCTGGAAGAGTTAAGTACATAAGTGTTGCCGGAGAACATGTTAAGATTTCCAGTAGTGACATGAGAAAGTATGTAGTACCATACTTGCAAGGATAAAGAAATCAGTCGGGTCGATATGGGAAAGTCAATGTACACCATAGTATTACACAAGAGCAAAGCAAAGGACCAATAAAGAAAAGAGCAACATCATTCACAGAACAAAGTTCTTTCAAACCCCATTCACTATGGAAGCCTATTATCATCTATATAAAGTTATACTATCCTATGTATTCCAGCAGACAAGTTAAAGTTCAATGAAAGAGTCAAATTTATGAAAGATGAGAATTTCATTAACACATTCAGAATGAAAAACATATTGGACAGCACAATCTCACTTACAGATGCATATTAACAATTTCAATTCTGCCTGATACATATTTTGCTATATTTTATCACATATATATGAGTTAAGTACAGAAAACTTGTGACCTCTGAGTTGGTTTAATAGACATGGATGTCCACACTGAACCCTTCCAAATGAGTAGCACTGAGTGAACAGCCCTTTCCGACGCCTATATCATCTCCTGAAATCTTCTGGCTATGGTGTTTTGCTCGATAGCTGAGCCACAAACAAGAGATTCTTGTCAGAGCTGCATGACCAGCAACACGAACCCTGCAGACCATACTTAAATCTGCCCAGATATCACCCATTTCACTTCGCCTGATACTTTGGTCATATCCTTCAAGATCGGACTCTTTTACAACAACTACAGAACTATCATCAAATGTGATAAGATCGTGTGATGATACCGACACTTTCTTTCCTAGATCATTGATGTGGCAGAAGGAAACATCCTTCTGCACCATCAGGTGGTAGAATTCCAGGACGGCCTGCAATTAGAAACCACCAAAATCATGTGCTAAGAATTGTCATCAAGTCAAATCTTGGATGAAAGGATGCCAAATGTGGTATATAATATGATATACGGCCAAGTAGAGTGTAAGTTGGTCAGTTTTTAACTAAAACTAACACCGAACTGACATAAGACCAAACCAACAAAAACTAACCAAATTTGGAGCAAATGCACAAAATCTACCCAAACTAAATCAATGGCCTGTTTTTTTGTTCTACAATTTAGAAAACCAAACCAACTAACATGTATACTTCAAATTAACCGAACTGACTCAGTTCAATCAATTGCATCTGTTTTCTCAATTATCCCCAATGGCCAAGTTCTTAGAACTATTCATTATCATAGTAAAAAACAAGTTTAAGAAGTCGAAATGCAGAATTCAAGATAATGAAAAGCCTTACAAAAGCTAACAAGCCACGAAGTAAAGAGGGCCAATAAATAAATATCAGATAACGTTAATAAATTTTAAATCAAACCACAGAAACAATGAGATGAGAGCAAAGCGTGGATGATTATCCTTTCATCTATAGGCTGAACTAATTAAGAATGAAAAATCAGGAAGAGGAAGAAGCCAGACAGGATTGCAGTGATACCTGCCATTGTGATGGTGCTAAAAGCACCCTTGGCCTGATTGACTTCACATGACTATAAGCTTCATCCGGCGTCATTTGCTTGTATTGCACCTATACACCATAAAGCCTCAGAAATACATTCCTTGATTTTTGAATTTAAGAATAAAGGTTATTTTATTTGCATTAAAAAACTTACCAAGTAGCATATAACAATGGTTGTGCTACGGCCTCGTCCAGCTTTACAATGAACATATGTGGTTCGTCCACGTGATGCATTTTCTTTAATAACAACATAAGATCAAAAAATGAAATTACTCATTACAGAAAATTTTATTTGACACCATAAATTGATGATCACAAATATTTCTCATATAAACATAGACTACCTTTTCCTAACAAAAAAACAGAAATGATCATTCTGGGCATGGAAGCAGAATGAATAAAGTATAAGATACATACTGTGGATGAAATTTACAGCAATGCAAATGTCTCTCAATAAAGGTGCGAAGCAATAATCTCTAGTGGGAATGGTAAGATGATCAATGCCGTGATCCTGAAATGGTAAAAATGCAAGAATCATTTTCAAATAAATTGAAGGCACAAGTAGGATAAGGAAAAACCTACAGCAATCAAGTTAATAAAAAGAAAGAAAAGAGATAAACACAAATGAATAAATGATTAGGCAGCAATGACAATAGGTCATTAAACGTCAGCTGAAACAGCCTCTTATCAGATGATATTTCCACTTCAATTTTTCCATTACGGACCAATTTCATAACTGGTAAAAGAAATGTACAGCAGATCATAATCATATTTACTCTGAAGAGCACATATCAAAATGATAATAGTAATCCTATTTTCTAAGTAGTCTAACCTCATGAAGTACAAAGAGAATAATGTTCGTCTCTCTCATTGGCAATTTACAGATATGACACTATCTTCCATTGGTTGGGGAGGAGTGCTTTCTTAAAATTTAAACCTTTAAACATTTTAATTGTTATCTAGTTTAAAAGCAAATAGAGACAAGTGCTCGATGGTGGGTGAAAATTGCAATAGGCCAAAGGCTGACCAAGAGATGGGTCCGTTGAAGCCTACTTACCTTGCTTCATGTTTGAATCTCGACATGCCTTTAGGACACAACCCTATAGCATTCTCTAACAAGATCTTGCGGTTGAGAAGGTCCGTAAGAGACTCTCCCGTGGGAGGAAACTTCTTTTGAAGGGAGGAAGACTTACCTTGGCTTGTTTGGTGGTGACGATCTCGTTTTACTTTCCCTCCCTTTCCAAAAGCTCATTGGCATTAAGAGGTCCGTTGAAAGACATTTTAGATGCATTGGGGATTGAAAAGGTATGGAGGGGGCTGGGATGCATTTAGTTAATTGGAAGACATTGTCTATACCCAGTGAGGAAGGAGGATTAGAGATAGGGAACCGACAGTAAGAAGTAGCCTTTTTATCCAATTGGCACCAAATTATTCTGAGTACGTATGGGCTTCATCCAAACCAGTAGTATCTCAAAAACTAGTTTCTTGCATAACCGTTTGAAATCCATGGAAGGATATTTCCTAGGCAGCAAAGACACGCTTAAAATGACAAAGTGTCGGCGTTAGACACCGACAGGCATCGGACACATGTCCAAAATTATTTTTTATTTTTAAAAAATGGGACACGCTTGGGACACGTCTAGGACATGCGAGGGTCTTTTTTTTTTCTTTTTTTTCCCCTTTGACCTAGTTTTCTTATTTCTTCTTCATCAACCGATGACCAAGGCCAAATAAAAATTAACCCAAAAGTCACGTACTCCCCAACTTTATAGAAGATAGGTGAACAAAGAAGAAGGAAGAAGA